CAACTGGACGAAGTGCACCAACAAACATACAAAAGCACAGGGTTTCGCAACACTGATTTGCTGAACAAGCTTGCGCGCGAGCTCTTGCGAAATCTTAAGAAAATCATAGTTTTTTCAAGATTTTCACAAAATGCTATCAAACGGGCTTCGCGCGCGCGCATGTCGAAATCTGTCGAACGCCCTTGCGCGTGTGCCGTCGCGAGAATCTTCTGCAAAAAATTGGACGAAGTGCAGACGCGCGCGTCTCGCGCGCGCATGCCGAAAACCTTCAAAACCCATCGGTTTCGAAAGGATTTCAAAATCGCGTCTCCAAAAAACATAAAAAACACAAGGTTTCGCAACACGGATTTTCAACAAAAGCGTGCGCGCGCGCTCTTGCGTCGTCGTCGTCGTCGTCCTCCCTCTGCCCTCGTCGTCGTCGTCGTCGTCGTCTTCTGTCTTTCCTCGTCGTCGTCGTCGTCGTCGTCTTGGCGTCGTCGTCGCTTCCGTCGTCGTTGTCGCCGTGGTCGTCTTTCCTCCCTCGTCGTCTTCGTCGGCGTTTCGTCGTTGTCCCTCCTATTTCGTCGCCGTCGTCGGCGTCGTCGTCGTCGTCGTCGTCGTCGTCGTCTTCACTCCTCCCTCGTCGTTATCCTCCTCCCTCGTCGTCGTCGTCGTCCGTCGTCGGCGTCTCGTCGTCGTCCCTCCTATTTCGTCGCCGTCATCGTCGTCTTCGTCGTCGTTGTCGTCGTCGTCGTCTTCCCTCCTCCCTCGTCGTAGTCGTCGTCGGCGTCGCCGTCCTTCCTCCTTCTTCGTCGTTCGCGTCGTCGCCGTCTTCCTTCCTCCATCGTCGTTGTCATCGTTGTCGCCGTCGTCGTCCTCCCTCCTCACTCGTCGTCGTCTTCGTTGGCGACGTCGTCGTCGTCTTCGTCGTCGTCGTCGGCGTCGGCGTCGTCGTCTTCGTCGACGTCGACGTCGGCGGTGTCGTCGTAGTCGGTGTCGGCGGCGCCGTCGTCGTCGTTGTCGCTGTCGTCGTCGGCGTCGGTGTCGTGGCCAAGTGCCTTGTGGTACAGACCGTCACGGTCTTGTCTTAAGAAGTCTTGCGACCGAGTTGCGGGCGGGTGGGTGGGATGTTTGCGCGAGCAGTGGAGGTGGTCAGGCGCGGTGCAGGGTAGTCAATTCTCCTTTCTAAAAGGAGAATAGACTCTACCCCCCCCCCCGGACTTATCCGTTCCCCTTTCGGGTATGTAACTCATATATGATTCTGACCACTCGTCCATCCTAAATATGAAAACATCTCATCCCAGCTAGGCCGGGTTCCCCCCCTGAGGTTCCCTTGTAAAAAACACTATGCGGTGACATTTTTTGTTCTAACATAACACTTTTTCACGAATCCCTTGCAAACAATTGGACGAAGTGCGCATGCGCGCGTCGTCGCGCGCGCATGCCGAACTCCTTCAAAAATCTTCGGTGCCGGAAGGATGTCGCAATCGAGTTTCCAAAACACATACAAAAACACCGGGTTTCGCAACACAGAGTTGCTAAAAAAACTTCCGCGCGAGCTCTTGCGAAATCTTAAGAAAACCATAGGTTTTTCAAGATTTTCACAAAATGCTACCAAACGGGCTTCGCGCGCGCTCATGTCGGAATCTGTCGAACGCACTTGCGCGTGTGCCGTCAGCGAGACTCCCCTGCAAAAATGGGACGAAGTGCAGACGCGCGCGTCGTCGGGCGCGTATGCCGAAAACCTTCAAAACCCATCGGTTTCGGAAGGGTTTCAAAATCGTGTGTCCAAAAAACCTTCAAAAACACAAGGTTTCGCAACACGGATTTTCAACAAAAGCGTGCGCGCGCGCTCTTGCGTCGTCGTCGTCGTCGTCGTCGTCGTCGCCGTCCTCCCTCCTCCCGCGTCGTTGTCGTCGTCGTCGTCGCCTACGTCGTCCTCTGTCTTTCCTCGTGTTCGTCGTCGTCGTCCTCTTTGGCGTCGTGGTCGTTTCCGTCGTCGTTGTCGCCGTGGTCGTCCTTCCTCCTCCTCCCTCGTCGTCGTCGTCGTCCGTCGTCGGCGTCTCGTCGTCGTCCCTCCTATTTCGTCGCCGTCGTCGTCGTCGCGTCGTCGTCTTCCCTCCTCCCTCGTCGTTGCCGTCGTCGGCGTCCCGTCCTTCCTCCTTCTTCGTCGTTCGCGTCGTCGCCGTCCTCCCTCCTCCCTCGTCGTTGTCGTCGTTGTCGCCGTCGTCGTCCTCCCTCCTTCCTCGTTGTCTTCGTTGGCGACGTCGTCGTCGTCTTCGTCGTCGTCGTCGGCGTCGGCGTCGGCGTCGTCGTCGTCGCCGCCGTCGTCATCGTCGTCGTCGTCGTCGTCGTCGTCGTCGTCGTCGGCGTCGTTGACGTCGTCGTCGTCGTCGGTGTCATCGTTATCGTCGTCGTCGGCGTCGTCATCGTCGTCGTCGTTGTCATCGTCGTCGTCGTCGGCGTCGGTGTCGTCGTCGTCGTCGTCGTCGTTGTCGGCGTCGTCGAAGTCGTTGGAGACGTCGTCGGTGTCGTCGTAGTCGTTGTCGGCGGCGTCGTCATCGTCGTTGTCGCTGTCGTCGTCGGCGTCGCTGTTGTTGCCAAGTGCCATGTGGTACCCACCGTCACGGTCTTAAGAGATTTTGCAAACCAACTTGCGGGTGGGTGGGTGGGATGTTTGCGCGAGCAGTGGAGTGGACAATTCACTGCGAACAGAAATTAGTTCTCCTTTGTAAAAAGAGAATAGACTCTCCCCCCCCCCCCCCCCCCCCCCCCCCCCCCCCGGACTTCTCGCTTTTCCCTGGGATAGTATGATTTCATATAGTTTCTGCACATTCGTCCATCCTAAATATGAAATCATACCATCCCAGCCAGGCCGGGTTCCCCCCCCCTGAGGTTCCTTTGTAAAATGACACTATGCGGTGACATTTCTTGTTCTGACATAAGACATTTTCATGAATCTCTTGCAAAAAATGAGACGGAGTGCACACGCGCGCGTCGTCGCGCGCGCATGCCGAAATTCTTCAAAAACCTTCGGTGCCGGAAGGATTTCGCAATCGAGTTTCCAAAACACATACAAAAACACAGGGTTTCGCAACACTGATTTGCTAAAACAACTTCCGCGCGAGCTCTTGCGAAATCTTAAGAAAACACAGGTTTTTCAAGAATTTCACAAAATGCTACCAAACGGGCTTCGCGCGCGCGCATGTCGAAATCTGTCGAACGCCCTTGCGAGTGTGCCGTCGCGAGAATCCTCTGCAAAAAACGGGACGAAGTGCAGACGCGCGCGTCGTCGCGGGCGTATGCCGAAAACCTTCAAAACCCATCGGTTTCGGAAGGATTTCAAAATCGTGCGTCCAAAAAACCTACAAAAACCCCAGGTTTCGCAACACGGATTTTCAACAAAAGCGTGCGCGCGCGCGCTCTTGCGTCGTCGTCGTCGTCGTCGTCGTCGTCGCCGTCCTCCCTCCTCCCGCGTCGTCGTCGTCGTCGTCGCCTGCGTCGTCCTCTGTCTTTTCTCGTGTTCGTCGTCGTCGTCCTCTTTGGCGTCGTGGTCGTTTCCGTCGTCGTTGTCGCCGTGGTCGTCCTTCCTCCTCCTCCCACGTCGTCGTCGTCCGTCGTCGGCGTCTCGTCGTCGTCCCTCCTATTTCGTCGTCGTCGTCGTCGTCGTTGTCGTCGTCGTCTTCCCTCCGCCCTCGTCGTTGTCGTCGTCGGCGTCGCCGTCCTTCCTCCTTCGTCGTCGTTCGCGTCGTCGCCGTCCTCCCTCCTCCCTCGTCGTTGTCGTCGTTGTCGTCGTTGTCGCCGTCGTCGTCCTTCCTCCTCCCTCGTCGTCGCCTTCGTTGGCGTCGTCGTCGGCGTCGGCGTCGTCGTCGGCGTCGGCGTCGTTGTCGTCGTCGAAGTCGTCGGAGACGTCGTCGGTGTCGTCCTAGTCGTTGTCGTCGGTGTCGTCGTAGTCGGTCTTAAGAGGTTTTGCAAACCACGTTGCGGGTGGGTGGGTGGGATGTTTGCGCGAGCAGTGGAGATGACGACTTCAAGTTCAGCAGAGTGGATTTCACCACATAGATTGTTCCACGTATATTCCATCACGTGCATTGCACCGCGCATATCGTATCACATATTTGGGTTAACGTAACTTGCACATCGTAGATGACACATCGTGTATTCAGCCACATCTATTGCCCACTTTGCGCAGGTATTGCACATAAGGTGCGCACCGTACATTGCTAGGAGCACACTGTTTGCCCCCCCCGGTGGGTGGCATCTCTATATACATACACAGTTGTTTATTTGTCTATATTTGTATACATGCATGGGAGAGACATAATGCTATAAAGAGAGACAAAGCACGAGGGATAGAGAGAGATAGAGCAATTTAGATAATGATACATGTGTATATGTATGCATAGATGTATCTATATATAGAGACAGAAAGAGATAGAGAGAGAGAGAGCGAGCGAAAGAGGGAGAGAGAGAGAGAGAGAATAGAGAGGGATACATATATATAGAGAGAGAGAGAGAGAGAAGAGAGAGAGATGATACACATATATCGAAATAGACAGAAAGAGAAATATAACGAGAGAGAGAGAGAGAAACCAAACACAATGAGAGATAACGAAACACACACACATATACATGTATAAGAATAAACATGTAAACAGAGAAAGAGACATAAAGAGGGAGGCAGAGCGAGAGCGATAGAGAGAGAAAGAGAGGGAGAGAGAGAGAGAGAAAAAACAAAGAGAGAGAGAGAGAGAGAGAGAGAGAGAGAGAGAAAGAGAGAGAGAGAGAGAGAGAAATAGAGAAACATAACTATAACGACAGACAGAGAGAGAGAGAGAGAGAGGGGAAGCAAACATACGGGGGAGCGTATGGCGGGCGAGCTTGGCTACACAGTACGGGGACTGAGACAGCCAGGGGGCCAGGCGGCGGGGGGCACGCACATGGCAGACGATCTGCAGCGAAGAAGCAGTCTTGCATAGGAGCACGTTGGTTGGACCTTTCAGCAGGGAGGGCGCTGGGAGACCCTGGGAAGCTCGCGGCCGCGATCGCCCACGCCGCGTTCTACCGCGCGCGGGATCCGGTGGCCAAGGGCTTATCCTGAAAGGGGAGGAGGAGGAGGAGGAGGAGGAGGAGGAGGAGGAGGAGGACGAGGAGGAGGAGGAGGAGGAGGAAGAGGAGGAGGAGGAGGAGGAGGAGCTGAGGAGGATGTCGCGGTCTTTCAGGTGGAGTCTCATTGCTTCCATAGCCAGCGCTGCGAGCCACGAGGAAGCATGGGGTCGACTGCGCGGACACTCGCGCGTCAGCTGCACGCGTGAGGTCGCGCGCAAGCGCCCTCGTTGCCACGAGGCGTCGCCGGCGGCCTGTGCAAGCCACTGGGCGAGGTCGGGCGTCGTCTGCGTCGCCCAGGTCGATTCAGCAGCTCGTGCCTTTGGCGCAGGGGGCCTCCGTGCCACGGGTGAGCGAGCACGCAGGGCCCGCATGGGAAAGGAAGAGCCCTGGTCCCTTGTCCTCCTCCTCCTCCTCGTCGTCGTCGTTGTCCTCCTCCCCCTCCTCCTCCTCCTCCTCCTCCTCCTCCTCCTCCTCCTCCTCCTCCTCCATCTCTCCTTCAGTCTCTTCTTCTCCTCCCGCTCGGCGCCCGCATGGTCTCTCCTTCGCTTGCCTCCCCCCTGCAGGGCGCCCGCGTGATCCGACGGGGATGCGTGCTGAAAGGCAGGTGCAGTTTTCCGCCATCCCGGTCCGTCCCTTCCTCCTCTTCTTTTCTCTACTCCAAATCTTTAATTAATCGTCCCCTGGGTCTGGTTTTTTAAGGCGCTTTCTTTGTAACTGGTGGGGTCCGGCTTACTAGGGCGCTTTCTGCGGATTGGAGCTTAGGGGGTCCGGTTTATTCAGGCGCCCCGTCGAAGAGGGGGGTCCGGAATATTAGGTGGCATTTGGAGGGGGGTCCGGCTTTTTAGGGGGGGTCGATTCATAAGGGATTTGGAGACTTCCTTCCTTCTTGTTTGGCAGAGGTTTGTTTGCCAGCCTGTCTGTCAGTACTGTACCGTGCCGCACGATGCTGTTGTAAGTTCCGTCGCTGCAGTAAAGCCCGCGCAGCGAGGACGAGCGACTTTCCAGTGTTACCCTTGCATCCTTCCCCGTCGGCCCATCCTCGGCCGCTTCCGCTGGCCGCGTCCCGCTCGCAGCGTATCGACTTCACCTTCCGAGGCCCGCGCATCCCCACCGCGCAGCCTTCTCATACGGGCCGACAGTCGACTGCTTTTGGCGCTCCCGTGCCATTTCTCTTCCTCCTCCTCCTCGACCTCTCCCTCCTCCTCCTCGTTTCCCTCCGAGGAGGAGGACGAGCTCGTCTTTCTCCTCCTCCTCCTCCTCTTCCTCCTCCTCCTCCTCTTCCTCGTCCTCGTTCTCCTCCTCCTCGTTTCCCTCCGAGGAAGAGGATGACGAACTCGTCCTCCTCCTCGTCATCCTCTTCCTCCCTGTCCTCCTTCTGTGCCTCGTCCTCTCCTCCTCCTCCTCCTCCTCCTCCTCCTCCTCTCCCTCGTTCTCCTCTGCGTCCTCCTCCTTGTCCTCCTCCTGCTCGACCTTCTCCTCCTCCTCCTTCTCCTCCTCCTCCTCCTCGACCTCCTTGTTCTCGTCGTTCTCATCGACCTCCTCCTCCTCCTCCTCCTCGCCCCCCCTCGGCCACTGCCAGCCTCGCCCCCGCAGCGCCCTCGCGTTCCCAGCGAGGGGCTTCCAGAGGGGGGGGGGGGGGGACAGAGCGCGCGGCCCCCCGCCTCGACTGCTGCTGCCTCCTGCGCCCAGAAGGGAAGGAGGGAGGAGGAGGAGGAGGGAGGGAGGGAGGGAGGGAGGGAGGGGGGAGGGAGGGAGGAGGAGGAGGAGGAGGAGGAGGAGGATGAGGAGGAGGAGGATGAGGAGGACGGGGAGGAGGAGGAGGGGAAGGAGGAGGGAGAGGTGGAGGAGGGACGGACATAGCCAGGACCACGGTTGTGCCCCGCAGAATTTCAAAACCAGGTGTGCGGCAGCTGCTTTTTTTCGGGTGGCGGCATTACCACTTAGTGGAATGGGCACGGGGGCGTCCTCGGGTGTACATCGCTAAACCAGGTCCAACTACACTGATGTTTGCCAACGTCCGAGAGGGGAGGAGGAGGGGGATGGGGGATGGGGGCGGAGCAGGCGGAAGACTGCAGCTCCTGCTAGCCTCTGCTGCTGGTGCTGCTGCTGCTGCTCTTTCTCCTCCCTCTTATCCCTCGCCCCGCTCCTGGTCGCACTCCTGATCCTGCTTCTGCCCTTCTTCCCTGACGTCCGACATGTAATCTCAATGGAGGTGTTTTCGGAACAGTGATGCTCGCCGGACGATCTCTGGTCGAAGCCATGCTCCGCTCGCGTGGAGGCGCGCTGCGAGTGGCCGTTCGCGGGGTCCTAGGCGCACTGGGATGGCTTCAATGGTTGCTGCTCCATTGTTGGCAGCGCGCACAGGTGTCCAGGGCCAGGGTGGGGTAGTCAGTACTGTTTAGCCGATCCCTATCCTCATCCCCGCCTACATCTCGAGCTCCACCGTCTCACCATCTCAGTTGGGGATATGCCCCTTGAAACCCGAAGAGAGCAGCCTATCTCCCCCCGGCAGGGGGGTAAATCGGCCAGTGGGGCCCACCCCACGCTGGTGGGATGGGGATCGGTTAAACGATGGTCAGATAGCGGTCTTCCAAGAAGGGCTCCCCCTCCCGCCTCTTGAGCGGCGTGGGGCGCATGGCTTTTGTACAGTGCCGTTGTTAATAATGCTCCGCGTGCGGATCAAGTATAAAAATGCATGGATTTAGTATCAAAAACAAAGATGAGTTCATGCACACATTCATTCATACATTAATCATGCATTAAACGTCCTATATGTTGTAACATCCTATGTGTTTAAAAACTGCCCTGTAGGGGGGCGATCCTTTCCAACAAGCCTCTTGCCTCTTTGCCTGCGCGTCGCGGATCGTCGTCATACGAGTGCTAGGACACTATCACGACGATGCTGTGGACAACTCGTTCCGCTTCCCGTCCCTGCCCCTGCCCCTGGCGGGTAGTCATCGGGAGCAGGGGCAGGGACGGGGGCAGGTGGGAACACTAATATCGATAGTAATAAGATGCTGATGCTGATGCTGATGCTGATGCTGATGATGAGGCTGATGATGAGGAGGATGAGGATTAGGCGGATGAGGATGAGGATGGTAGTGATGATGATGCTGGTGATGCTGATTATGCAGATGATGATGATGATGATGCTGATGCTGATGATGATGATGATGATGATGATGATGATGATGATGATGCTGGTGATGATGATGGTGTTGCCAATCATGGTGGTTCTGCTGATGATGGTGGTGGTGGTGATGATGCGTATGCTGATGCTGATGATGATGTCGATATTGATGCTGCTGCTGCTGACGATGACGATGATGACGATGATGATGATGATGATGATCATGATGATAGTGACGCTGCGGCTGCTGCTGATGATGATGCTGCCGCTGATGGTGATGCCGATGCTGATGCTGTGACTTCGGATGATGATGCTGCTGATGATGATGCTGATGATGATGCTGCAACTGATGCTGATGATGATGATTATGATGCTGACTATGATGATGGTGATGATGATGGTGATGATGATGCTGATGACGATGCTGATCATGCTGATCATGATGCGGCTGCGGCTGCTGCTGCTGGTGGTGGTGTTGTCGACAATGCGGATGATGACGATGCTGATGATGATGATGATGATGATGCTTCTGATGATGATGCCGACGACGCCGATGCCGATGATGATGATAATGACGATGCTGATGATGCTGATTCTGATACTGATGATGATGATTTGAATGTTGCGGCTGCTGATGCTGATGAGGACGATGATGGTGATGACGATCACGATCATGCTGCAGATGATGATGATGCTGCTGGCGATGATGATGCTGATGCTGATAATGCTGATGACGATGGTGGTGATGACGATGTTGATGCTGATGATGCTGTTGATGATGCTGTTGCTGATCATGATCATGATGCTGATGCTGATGCTGATGATTCTGATGATGCTGGCGCTGGTGCTGATGCTGATGATGCTGCTGATGATGGTGATGCTGATGCTTCTGATTATGATGCTGGTGATGGTGACAATGGTGCTGTGGACGATGATGCTGCTGCTGCTGCTGATGATGATGATGATGATGATGGTGATGATGATGATGATGATGATGATGATGATGATGATGATGATGATGATGATGATGATGATGATGATGTTGATGTTGATGTTGATGATGATGTTGTTGATGATGCTGATGCTGATGCTGATGATGGCTTCCCCAACCCCCGGGGCCCCGCCCTGCCTGCTCGCCGCCAGCTTCCTGCCCCCTGCCTGTCAGCCAGCACCGCGAGCGAGCGCTCGCCCCCGTCGGAGCCGTCGCCTCCGCCGACCCCCCCGAGGCGGCGAGCACGCCCTTCCAGGAGCACGCTCGCGAGCACGGCGCCGCCCGGGGGGGTCGGAGGCGGCGTCGTGGGGGGGGGGGCGAGCACGGACGCGGCCACCACAGGTGCGCACTCCCGAGGGGAGGCGGAGGAGGAGGAGGAGGAGGAGGAGGAGGAGGAGGAGGAGGAGGAGGAGGAGGAGGAGGAGGAGGAGCAGGGCGAGCGAGGCCAAGCGGAGGTGGATGAGGAAGAGCAAGAGAAAGAGGAGACGGCGGAGGAGGAGGCGGAGGAGGAGGAGGAGCAGGAGGAGGAGGAGGAGGAGGAGGAGGAGGAGGAGGAGGAGGAGGAGGAGGAGGAAGCGTAGGAGGTTGCCGATGCGACGCGCGGCACAGCGGATGCGTAGCTCCTCCTGCGGCGGAGCCGGGTGGGTGGCGGGCCCCCGAGGCTGAAGAAGGTCGGCCCCGCTCCCCGCCCCCCGTGGCGGCGGCCTGGAAGGGGGAGCCGTGCAGGACGTCCTGCGGGGCGGGCGTGCTCCCGGCGCCGGCGCTCTGCCCTGGGGGCGCGGGCGGGCGGCGCCACGGTTGGCCCTGATGCGGGCCTGCGGGGCCTCGGTCAAGGCCAGGAGGGGGGGGGGGCGGAGGAGGGGGAGGCGGAGGGCTCGAGGCCGAGGGAGGCGACGAGGAAGAGGGAGGCTAGGCCAAGGAGGCCAAGGCATCGGCTTCGGCCGCCTCCGGCTGCAGGTCTGAGTTCTGGGGCCTCTTCGTGCAGCTCCTACCTCGGCAAGGGAGGGAACGGGGGAGTCAGAGGAAACAGAAAGGGGGGATTCGGGATCACTTTGAAATCTGGACAATTCAGGATCCGCCCCCTTTCTTCCTGCTGGAAATGGCGAAATCGGGAGCCTCGTGGGAACGACTGTTGGCCGTCTCCGACCAAAACACACACACAAATTCTTCAATCCTTGCAAGAGCCCTGTTGATTCGTCGTCTTGCTCGAAAGCAGCTGGCTCCGTCGAGTCTGGAACGAATTGCTGAGCTGACACGAGGACTGCCTCTGCCAAGACCTTGCAAAGTCCCGACGGGTAGGTTTTCTTACTTGAGGTTCTAAAGACTTTGCCGGCCTTTCCTAACAACTGCAAATGCGTGTCTTTCCCGTGCGCGCAACGACCTTGCCCCGGAGTAGAACGAAGGAGATGTTGGAGGCGGGGCATTCCTCACAAACCTGGTGTCAGCGCGGTCTGCCTGGGACCAATCTGTGCTAGGAGGCAGATGCTCACATGGGTCGAAATCCGTGGAACTGACATGTGGAGCAGACACTAGAGCAGCGAGCGGAGGCCAACGGAACGAAGTGGGTGCCGTGGGAAACCACGCGGGAGGCACTGGGTGTTCCATCCAACTGGGGGTCCCGACTCTCATGCGTTCCGCTGGGAGCATGCAAATGGCGAACAGCAGCTGCGAAACCGACGTTCAACTGATCGTGCTGACGACCACTGCAAAGTGTGATGCCCCAAATGTGTTCGGTCGTGCGAAGCGGAGGAGCGGGGTTGCACGGGGATCCATTTGGGACCCCGCGGCTCATTGGGGGACTGCGAAGGGTGCAATTGTCGCCACTTTCGTGGGCTCCTGGGAGGTGCAGCGGAGTGGAGTTGCACGGGGATCCAGTCGAAATTCGCGGCTCGTCGGGCGGCCGCGAAGCGTGCAATTGTCGCCATTTTCGTGGGCTCCTGGGAGGTCGCACCGAGTGGAGTTGTACGGGGATCCAGTTGGAATTTCGCGGCTCCCTGGGGGGCTGCGAAGTGCGAAATTGTTCCCACTTTCGTACGGGACCAACAATATGCATATTTCACGGGTTGCTGGTCGCTCCTTCAAATCGCACGCTCGGTCGATTCGCGCATTTGGCGTCGCGTCGCGCAGACGTCGGCCTCATCGCGATCAGTGATCGCTTGGGCATGGGGGCCGACGAGTCAAAATCTACAGGCCAATCAGCGAAAGACAATGATTTGTGGCCCCTATTCGTGGGCTCCTGGGAGGTCGCGCGGTGTGGAGTTGCACGGGGACCCAGTTGAGACCTCGCGGTTCCTTGGGGGGCTCCGAAGTGTAAAACATCGCCACTCTCGCAGGCTCCTGGGAGGTCCAGCGGGGTGGAGTTGTGTGGGGATCCAGTTGGAGACCTCGCGTCTCCCAGAGGGGGCTGCGACGCGTGCACTCGTCGCCACTGTCGTGGGCTCCTGTGAGGTCGCGCGGCGTGGAGTTGTCTGGGGATTCCACCGGACTGTCGCGGCTCCCTGGGCGGCCGCGAAGCGTGCAGTTGTCGCCATTTTCGTGGGCTCCTGGGAGGTCGCGCGGACTGGAGTTGCACAGGGCCCCAGTTGAGACCTCCCCGCTCCCTGGGGGGGGCTGCGGAGCGTGCAACTGTCGCTCGCCACTTTCGTGGGCTCCTGGGAGGTCGCGCGGAGTGGAGTTGTACGGGGATCCATTTGGGACCTCGCGGCTCGACGGGGGGCTGCGAAGTGTGAAACTGTCGCCACTTCCGTGGGCTCCTGGGAGGTCCAGCGGAGAGGAGTGGTAGGGGATCCAGTCGAGACCTCGCGGCTCCCTGGGGGGCTGCGAAGTGCGCAGCTGTCGCCGCTTTCGTGAATTTCAGGGGTGGTCCAGCGGAGTCGGTAGTCACGCGGATCCCGTCGAGACCTCGGGGCTCCCCGGGGGGGGGGCTTGCGAAGTGTGTAACTGTCGTCGCGTTAGTTGGCTGCCTGCGGTGTCAGGCGAGTTCGCGGCAGTTGTCGCCGGCGCCTCACAGGCGCGAGGGCCGACGAGAGATGCAACTAACGGCGACTATTCGCATCCAATTTGGCAGGAGTTCTCATTGCGCGCGGCGTTGTCCCGTCACGCAGCTCTCGGCGCTGTCGCATCGCAGCTCTCAGGGATCCGCTGCGCCACGCAGCGCATGGTGCTGTGTGTTGTCCGCGTTGCCTCCCGTCCTCAGCTGCCTCTTGGCCCGCCATGCCACCCCGTGCGCTTGTCTCGCCCAGCGCGACGCGCTGGTCTGTCCCTGCTACGTCGCGCTCGGCGCTACTGCTGTTATTGAGCATGTATGTCCCCTTTCGCCCCACTCCGTATGCTTTGGTTTCCGTTCTCAGCTTGCCATTCCTGCATGCTTTTGTGTATTTGTGAGAGCTCATGCGCGCTGCGGGCCCTTCAGCATATTTGTTTGTATTGAACGGTCCCAGACATACTCGCCCAATGTTTTGAAAAAGGTTGGGTTCTTCGCCGGGTAACTCCAAACGAATGTGCGCGACGTTGAGGCGACAACCACATTAAGAAACGGTCCTCTTTCAATCCGTGAAACTTTTGCACATGTTGGAAGTGAATCTGCGCAGCGCTATTGCGAGAGCCACGTTATGAAAACCGCCCGCCTTCAATCCGTGAAGCTGCTGTCAATTGCGAAACGTCAGAGTCATCAGAGGTAAGAAATTCTCCTGCGAATCGCCCAGCCCGTCCTTCTGACCGGCTTCGGGGTACGACTGGGAAGAATTGCTTGTCAGGAAAGGAATGGAGGATGAGGAGGACAACCAATGTAAACCCACGGTCCATCAACGCTAATTCCAGCGCCGATGCCCACGGCCATGCCGACGCTGGAGCCTCCGCCAACACTTACGGTGGCACAGACGCCAACAAGAACGCCTGCACGCCAACAGAGCCTCCGCCAGTGCCGACGCTGGCACCGACGCCAGCGCGGAAGCCAGCACTGACACCAGCGCCAATGCCGACGCCTACGCCGCACAAGCACTGGCACCAACAGTGACGACGGCAGCACCGACGACAGCACCGGCCTCGGCGCCTGCAGCTGCACCTGAAGCACGCCATGACGCCAACTCCAGTGCGAGGTGCGGTACCCCCTTGGACTCCCGTGGCGCTGTGCCCTCTGATGTTCCCGAGGCGCTGTACCCCCTTGAATTCCCGAGGCGCTGTACCCCCTTGAATTCCCGAGGCGCTGTACCCCCTTGTGTTCCTGGCTCTGGGGCATTTCTGGTTCTGGCGTGCTGGCCCATCGGCTATCCGCCGGCCCATCCTTCCGCTTTCCCATCTCTACCACATACCAACCTTCAGACGCCACCAACTCATCCTCTGCTCCAGGGGGGCACGATTTGTCTGCCCCATTGGTGCCGACAGGAAGCACCGGCATACTGTCAGGACTCAGCATTTAGGAATTCCAGTAATTCCACACGCGTGCAAGGACATGATTGGTTGCACCGCGATGTCGGCACGGGACGGTAGATTTGTCGGCGCCTACGTCAGCACAACCGTCGGCGCGTACGCCAGCGTCGACGCCATCATGCACGCCTTCGACTGAGCCAGCACCGACAGCAGCGCCTACGCCAGCGCCGACGCCAGCACTGACGCCTGAACGAAATCCAGCGCCTGCACTGGCACCAACGACAGCGTCTGCATCAGCATCACTGTCCTCACCGACACCAGCACCGACTTCGACGACTACGCCAGCACCAGCGTCGACGCCTACGCCAGCATGACGCCTACGTCTACTCCCGCGCCGACCTGCTTGGCGGCCCCAGCGCCGACCAGCTCACCGACTCCTACGCTGAACAGCATACCGACTCCCACGATGAACAGCATGCCGACTCCCACGCCGACCAGCTGACCCAATCATGCACCAAGCAGCTCGCCGTCTCCCGTGTCGAACAGTTCACTGATTCCCACGCCGAACAGCCCCTTGACTCCTGCGCCGACCAGCTCGCCGACTCCCGCGCCGGCCAGCTGCCGACTCCCGCACCGACCAGTCGATTCCCGTGCCGATCGGCTCACCGACTCCCGCGCCCACCAGCTCACCGACCCCCTCGCCGATCAGACCACCGACTCCAGCGCCGACCAGATCACCGACTCCAGCCTCGATCAGTGCACCGTCTCTCGCACGGGCCAGCTCGCCGACTCCCACGCCGACCAACCCCACTTTGAGCCAGAGGATTGCGCCACGACCGTGAAGGGCAGGAGCAGCCGCAGCACGGTTGCGACGCAGAGGAAAGAGCCACGCTCTGTGAGTGCCATTTTTATTGGCCTCCTCCACGCTGCCTCCACCTTCACCGCATCCCGGGTGAGCACCGCGTCGATGGTCAGCACTGTTGCACCGAGCCGGCCACGGTGTCCACCAGGGAGAGGGGGGCGCGTGTTGTGAACCTCCGTCCTGGCAGCGGGGCCGATACCACCGAGAGCATCGACTGTATCGTCACCAACTGCAGACTGCCTGCCGCGCCAGAGTCGAGCATTTGATCAGACTGTGAAGCAAACTCCTATTCCATATGCAGCTCCGACTCCAACCCCGACGCCTGCGTAGTCACATTTACCCGGCCAGCTGCGGAGACGTCGTCCCTGCCGACCAGGCAGAGCACCGATGGTAGTGAATGACGGCTGGACCTGGGCTTTGCAACGGCGCACTCTCTCCTCCACAGAGGTGAGCACCGCGTCGTCTCCGGCCCCAATGGCTGTCTCTTTGAGTCCACCTCCGACGCCAAAGTGGTGACGTTTACCTGGTCAGATGCGTGCGCCACCCTCTGGATCGCAACGCCGTGGCTCTGGCGGCCGTCCCAGACATGATCTGAGGACTTTTCTGGCTGACGCGTGCCCCCAGTTTCCTCTCCTTGCTCTCTCCCCTGTGAGCTGCGTTTCCAGCTCGTGCATACGCTCTGAGGCCAGTCGTGTAGCTCCATGGGTGGCCAGGGCTCTTCGCCTGCCCCATAGCTCCTACTCTCGAGCAGTGGCGAAGCGTCCTGGAGTGCCTATAGCCCCACCAAACACTGTTCTAAGAACCTTTTGTGGTTCCCACGAAACGTTCTTAGAACATTTCTGATTGGGACTGTCTTGTTTTAACGAATCGGGTTTCTGTACATTGTTTTTGTTCTTAGAACATTTTTGGGTTCTAAGAACATGCCGTGGCAGGGCTCTAGGAATGCCGGGACGGTCGGTCCCTGCTCAATACTCTGTTCTTTCTCTAGTAGTTTTTCTGGAGGCCACCCGCGCCGCAGGTGTGCGCGCCCAGGTGTGCGCGCCCAGCCGCGCTCGACCCTACATGGTAGGACCCAGGCCCATGTTGTTGCGCACGCCCTGCAAATATGGGATACTTTCTTCTGCTCCACCCCTCCCTCCGCTTTTTGGTCGGTCGCAGTTGCTCGCGTGGGCTGCAGTGCGCGCGCCGCCCACCAATGTCGGTTGACGCACGCGCGAACCTCGTTGCAGAATTTGCTCGGGCGTTTCTGTCCTGCCGTTCTTCCTCCTCCTCCTCTGTTCTTGAATTCTGTGTCACGCAGGCCTCCTCCCTGCAGCGTGCGACACGCCGGCGTCCACCTTGCAATGCTGCGACCAGGTGTTGTTTTTTACGTCCGCTAGTTTGTTATGTTTAATTTTCTTCGCTTTCCGCGCCCCTCCTCGTCCTTCCTCCCCCCCGCTCCCTGCTCCCTCGGCCATCTAGCTGCGGCCCGATGATAGTTCGTTGTTGTTTTGTTGCTGGCGTTGGCCCTGTAGGGTCATCCACAGGTGCCGCCGCAGCCATTGCTTGTCGCCCGGCGTGGCTTGGCACTTCACCGCCTGAGGCCTTGGGAGCCCGCGGCCAGAACAAAAGATTACGGTCCCTTCAAGCTCCCTCTTCATATGCCCTAACGGGTTTTTACTTCCACTTAAGTAAGTGCCCCGTTGGGGGGCAACCGCGTGAAAATTTTGAAGCGTGCCAGAACACGAAAGTTAGGACTTCAAAGCCACGAATCAACCAGACAGTTGCGTCTTGACGATCCTGAATCGTACCAGAACGCCAATCCTGGGACTTCAACACCCCGAATCAACGTAACTGTTGCGCCCTGGCAATCCTGAATCGTTCCGGAACGCCGTTTCTGGTTTTCAAACAAGGACCAATGGAACTTATTGGCATTTTGACACCATTGTGCGCGGGTTAAAGCGAGAGCCACATGTTGAACATTTCGCAAATTTTTGAAGCGAGTGTGTGCGGCGCTAAGGCCAGAACCACATTTTGAAAACGAACCGCCCTTAATTCGTCAAACTCCTTGCGAAGGTTCAAAGCGAAAGTGCGCGGCGCGAAGGCGAGTACCACATTTTCAAAATCACCCGCCGTCAACCCGTGAAGCTCTTGCAACGGTTTACAACGAATGCGCGCGACACTAAAGCGAGAGCCACGTTTTGCAGTCCGTGAAGATATGGCAATTTTCTAAAACGAGCGCGCGGCGCTGAGGCGAGAGCCGCATATTAGAAGCAGCCCGCGCTCCATCTGCTGGTGAGGAAGTCTCGCGAAACGCCTGGCCCGCTCTTCCGATTGGCTTCAGGTTGCGAGAGGGAGGGGTTATCCATAAGGAAAACGAGTGGAGGAGGAGGATCAGGAGGAGAAGCAGGAGGAGGAGGAGGAGGGAGAGGAGGAGGAGGAGGAGGAGGAGGAGGAGGAGGAGGAGGAGGAGCCTCCGGTTCATACCCCTCGCTCGGTCTCTTCTCCCCTCCTATCCATTCTTTCGCAGTGGCTTGGCGCTTTCCATCCAGTTTGCGCGTGCACATGCCCATGCGTTCGCAGCGTTGTGCTTTCACTGGGACAACAAAGTCAGGCACGCCGCGTCGTCTCCCCAGATTTCCGCCTCATGCGTTACCTTACTTTGCGCAGCGGCAGTGGGATGAGATCGGCACCTGCTGCGCCTCATGGTACTTGCGTTCCTCCTCCTCCTCCTCCGCCTTAGCCCTCTTCAGACTGGATCTCAGATTCGATGGGCCGCTCGTCGCCGTTTTGCATCTCTCCCCACTGCCCAAATTGTGTCTGCAGTGGTGCGCCCTCTCCGCATGCGTGGCCGTGGGCGCCCTCGTCTTCGCGCCTTCGCCTTCGCCTCGCCTCGCCCTGGGCTTTCCAGCCTCCCTCTCGCCCAGGCTCGTTTTTCCTCGCCCGCCACCAGTCTTCGTTGCGTCATATCCAGCTCCGAAGCGAGGCCGCCGCCGCGATCGCAGCGGGGAGGGGTCAGGGTTGGGCCTGGCGGAGCGGGAGTGGGCAGGCCTTGTGCACGCTGGTGGCAAGATGGACGACATCACGGTCGTCTGTGCCTGGGTTGTGCGTTCGAGGCGCTCGCCCTTGCCCCTTTGTCGAGCTCATGAGGCAGAAGGATGAGGAGCAAAAAGGAGGACGGGAAGGAAGAAACTGATGATGATGATGATGATGATGATGATGATGGTGGTGGTGGTGGTGGTGGTGGTGGTGATGATGATGATGATGATGATGATGATGATGATGATGATGATGATGATGATGATGCTGATGCTGATGATGATGATGGTGATGGTGATGATGATTATGATGATGATGATGATGATGATGATGATGATGATGATGATGATGAGGAGGAGGAGGAGGAGGAGGAGGAGGAGGAGGAGGAGGAGGAGGAGGAGGTGAAGGAGGAGGAGGAGCAGGAGCATGAGGAGACCGAATATGTCGAGGGCGGGAGGGTGAGAGGGAGGGACGTGGCCTCCCAGCCTTCGCTCCCGCCCGGCCGCCCCTACCTGCAGCTCCCCCCCCTCTCTTATTTCAGCTGCTCCTGGCGTAAACCCCACACCATGCAGTATCCATGTCTGGTACCGCACTCACCTCCACATTCATTCCTTGTGGCTTCGCCGCTCACTAACTCAGGGCGGCTGGTACCGCACTCACCTCCACATTCATTCCTTGTGGCTTCGCCGCTCACTAGTTCAGGGCGGGAGCGTCACGGGACGTACTCGCCCTAGTGGGCCCCTGGGTCCCTTTCTCAGATTGGCACTATACATTCGTGTCTCTCTGGTGGAAGCGGACCGACCTTCGGACATATGGAGAGAGATCCATGCAGACATGATCGGCTTGGCAGGCGCGCGCCTTCGGGCGCCACCGGGTTGCCCTGTTCAAGAATGGCAGCTCGAGAGAAGAGGATATGGCCTGTCGGCAGCATGGTCAGCGGCTTCTTTCTCGAACAGATAGGCAGGCTGTGTGTTGATGATGATTCAGAGGCTGTGTAAGGGGATTCGTACGACATCGACTCCACTGACGTCGGCCCAAGGAAGAGGGATCGCAGTCCGAATCGTTCGTGGATTTTTGGGCCTGACGATCGTGCTGATATACCTGCCCCCAGTCAATGACGATTGCGCTCGTAAGAGACGGGCGCTAGAAAAAGGATCTCGCGAATTGGTGTCGTGGGCTATACAGCAGGTCGAAGCAGCTCCCGCGAGATCGACACCGATAGTGATGGGTGATTCGATTACTTGTATTGGATCGAAGAACGGCGCACTACCGTCTCCGCCGAAGTTCGAGGTCGAGGGTGGGGGATCGATCGACAACTTCGGATGCCACAACCTTGGTAGCCATACCACCATCGGATATCAGACCTTGGAAGACTTGATTTTACCTTATGAAATGATGAACGTTGGCAGCTTCTTTCAGAAAGCAGGCCCGACCCATTACCACTTTGACGGGTCGGCGAGTACAGTGGATCATATTCTCGTGCCGTTGGCAATCCACGATCAGGTCCGCTGCTGTTTTACACCGCGGAGCTCGGCGAGACGCCTTCAAATGATTCCAAACGCTGCACCGAGGGACCACGTCCCAATCATCGTCGAGTTCACGGCCTACCAGCACCGCAGCCAGACGATCGACTCATTCAGGTGGGATCGGGGTGAGCTCGCTGCGGCGCTCTAGGAGGGCACCAACCGCCTCGAGTTCCAGAACGCCTTGGAGGGCGCCTTCGCGCAGTGCGCAGAGATCGGCCAGGTCGGCGACAGTGGCGACGTCGACAATTGGCAGATGTGGGTGGAACTGGTGCGCTCCTTTGCGCAGCCTTTCCTCGGACAGTCGCGACGGGCCGAGGGCCCGCGGGCCGCTCGCATTCGGGAGCGCCGACGAGAACTGCTCCAACTACGAGCTGAGGCGTTGGGCATGCGCGCCCCCCTCCGCCAACTGGCCCGACGTGAGCGCGCAGGGCGTCGCCGCAGGCTCGAGCGAGACACTCGCGAGGCTCATCGAGCCCGGCAATTCGCTGAGGCCCATAGTTTTTTTTGCCCCCCTTCCCCCCGGCAGCTCGCTGCGGGGGGCCCAGAAAGCGAAAGTATCGGGGCCCCACCCCGCAGTCGTCGCGGGAGGAGTGGAGGAGTTATCTTGCTGGCTCACCGCACGAAGGAGGCATGTTTGCGCATGAGATCGACTACGCGACCGAACCCGAGAACTCGGCGCGACGACGATGCCACTCGGCACCTGCGAGGGGCACTGGTTTTTGGCCGAACGTCATCTCCGATGCACCCTGAGGCTTCGAAAGAAGCGCCCCAAAAGTCGAGCCGCCCCAGCTTGGAGCGTCTCCACGGAAGTATTTCTGATGGCGGCAGGGTCCAGCTACGTTTCGCGCGCTGACGAACCCAGACTAGGGCTGGGAGGTGGACGGGTCGGTGAGCTTCCCCCTTCTCTGGCGTGTGCTCATCTGGAGAATCTGCACTGGTGGATTCGTGCTGCGAAGCGAGTTCCGGAGCTGGCTCATCTTTCTGTGGGGTGCCCGATCTTGAAGCCGAGCGGAAAACGTGGACCTGGGGGAAAACGTTTCATTCACGTATTCTGTCCTTACCGTAAGGGCTTCTATGGGGCCGCTATCCGACGGGGGCTGACATCTCGACCTCAGGACTGGCCAGCCACTTTCCATGGTTTTTCTCCCTGCACGGCGTCGTGAAGACGCCCTGGCTGTTCAACTTTGCGTGGGGCATCGGCTACGGGAGCGAAAGCTACAGTCGGCCCGGATTCGTAGGTCGACCCCGCCAGCTCAAGAGCATCTTTGTGTCTTGTGCCTCGCGGCGCGTGCCTTCTTGCGCGCCTATGGTGGTGTGGCCCTCGGATGTGTCTTGCGTCCTCTCGCGCGCCCTGGCCGACTGTAGCGCGCCCCAACAATCTACGCGACATGTGTGACGCTATCGCCTCCACTGCGCCCGAAGCTAGACATCGTGCGATTCGCGACATTGCCCCCCCCAGAGACCGAGCTCTGTTTGAACGTCGAGCGGGTCAGACTGCTATCTTCCCGGGATTTGCTGATGGGCAAAAATGCGGAGTCTTTGGGGTAGTAGTACATCCAGTAAACTGAAGCTTCTCACTTTCCAGGGCCATGTTTTTGAAGCGGGCTTATCCGCGAACTGGGCCTAGGTCTTCACGGCAAAAATTACCAGACAGGTGGGCACCATCCTTGCTAAGTATTCATGTGCTTTGGAGAGAGGCAAGGATGCGGACTGGAGTGGCGGCAGTCCTCGTAGCCTCCCTCGAGCAGTTCTGCGACGTAGATGGGAGGTTGTTCCTGTTGGATGCGCTCATGCCTCCAGAAGATGGCCCGAGGCCCCGAGGCCCGCGCCCAAGTCATTGCTGCTCTCTAGGGGGCCCTCAATGACGGTCCTCCTGCTCCGGGCCCTCATGGGCGCCTTGCCCGCGAAGCCCTTTCCCGAGGGCATAAACTAGAAACCGATCTGCGGCTGCGCGCTGGGGCCAGCGGCGCCGAGGGGTTTTTCGAGCGATGGAGCGAGCATAACTACTCCTACATCGCTTTGTTTGAGACGACGAGGTGCGGGAAGCGTGGCTGCGGGTCGACCCGTCGATTCTCATGGCAGCGATCCTGGCTGATGTTTTTTCCTTTCCCACAGAACCTGCGAGGACCTGCTCGCGCGATTGCGCCACCGACGGAAGCAGAACTCGCGGCTTTCGTTTGCGCGCTCAGGGGCGAGAGCTGGGCCGTCTGTAGCCAGACCTTCTCCACCCGCGGGGCCCTGACAGCCAGCGCGTTCCAGTCTCGGGGAGGTGGGCGCGGCCGGCGGACCCCCTTGTATGCGTGTGTGATTTGCGTTCAGTGTCCACGGTGCCGATCGACCTTCTCGACTCGAGATAGTGCTCGTCGGCGCGTTCGATCCTCTTGGGATAGTCTCAGATGCCGACTCGGTCGATCTCGATTCCCGTGGCCCCTGAATGCCCCCGACGCGATCAAGCGCATCAATTGCGACGAAGCCCGCAACAACCATGGGCGAATGCAATGGGCCTGCAGTGCAACGGCATCTTCCTCATCCCGCACCTGTTGCTGTTCGCTGTCAGGCCGCTCTCTGTCCACCGGCGTCCGACGCCCCGCGGGGCCGCCGTGCTCTGCCGCGGAGACCTCTCGGCGATGTTCGGCGCTCCAGCGGGAGGGGCGGCAGCGGCCGCGGGCGGCGGCGAGGGCGGGGCGCGGCGCGTCCGCCAGCAGGCCGACAGAGAGAAGAAAACCGATCTGGGCCTCAAGGGAGCGCGGAGGACGCTGCAGGTGTTGAACCTCAAGTTCCTGCTCCGACCCGGTCAGTCGAAGGGGGACGTGGAGGCGCCATCTTCGATTGCATTCTCATCGCGTCGAACAGCCACGAAGCGACCAAGATGAGCGAGATGGGCAGCAAGTATCCGGACGCGGTCGCGACGCAGGGTCGCGGCCGCAGCCTGGGGCCCCAGCGCGCGCGGGTCTTCGGCGGCCTGCTGATGGGCCTGATGGAGAGGAAGGACGCAGTGGGTGCCGCCAACGCCAAGAAGCTGGCCGAGTTGCGCGGACTGGTCGCCCAGATGGATGCCACAACCAGAGCCGACAAAATCAAGTTCTGCAAGATGGACAGGTGCTACGACCAGAACAAGAAGAAAGTACTACGGCACCTGGACACCGAGATCCGCCAGGTGATCCTCGACAGTCTGGCACAGACGGGAGCGGAGTTGAAGCAGGGCCGTGCGCCGCCCACCCACGTGGAGCGCGAGCTCCAGGAGTGGCTCGAGGCGTTCACGGGTGCTGAGAGCGGGGCTCGAGGCGTTCCTGACGGCGTGAGTGCTGACGGATGGGTCGAGGGGTCCCGCGCATGGCGAGTGCTGATAGTGTTCTGAGCGGGTCAATTCATGATGCTGATATGGTGCTCCTTCCTGGCAATGAGCGGGCTCATCGATCATTGCCGTCTTCCTCCACTCGTGCTCCCGCCTCGACGTGTCCCTCGGGGCCCCCGACTCTGACTCGGACTTTTGGCCCCAGAGTTGCTGCGAGGCCCGGCGGGTCGACGGCCCCCATGGCCCCCGGAGCTGCTGCGAGACCCAGTGTATCGGCGACCACGGGCCCCAGAGCTGCTACGAGACCCAGTGGGTCGACGGGCCCCAGTGCCGCTGCGAGACCCAGAGGATCGACGGCGCGGCGCCCCCGAACGCGCACCCCTAGGCGCGGTCCTCCCCCCTTCGACAGCTGAGTTCCGGGAAGCTAGGAAGAGTGAGGCCCCGATTCTGTGTGTGTGTGTGTGTGTGTGTGTGTGTAAGTGCGCACCTAGAGAAGAGGGGGATCCGAAAGGGGCACCCTAAGTATCCAATCGTGTTTCAGAGTTGCCAGATTTTGACATTAGCTAGAACGGAATCCGAGCATGTTTTTTAACCCTCCCCCCCCATCGGGTCCTTGGGCCTTCGTGGCGTCGTCGTTGGTCGCCGCCGTCTGTCCGTCGTCTTCGTCCCCCCCTCTCGCACATGCTGGGTTCCGTTTTGGGTAATGCGTTCCCGAGACGGTCTCTGGGGCTCTGGGCGCTAGCCTTCGGCGTAAGCCTCGGAGGCACTCCTGCCCTGAGCTGGATCCCACCAGATGGGGTTTTCCTCCGAGCCTGGTTTCAATCTCGTAGTTGACCAAGACAAGAGACTCCGTGGAGTTCAAATCCTGCTCCTCATTCCTCTTATCTCATTAACCAGCTAATTTTTGACGCTTCGCGTAGCCCCACCAGCCCATCCAGAAACGATGCCCATGAGAGCTGACGGGGGGGGAGAGGAAGAGACGCGCGCGGTCAAACAGTCAGGGGGGCCGGCCTGGACGGCGTGTTTTGGCCATCCCCGGCCTCATGGGAGGTTTCGTGGCCATCTCGAGCCGTCTTGGAGCGGTCTTGGGGCCTCTTGGAGTATTTTGGGAGCCATCTGGAGCCAACGTGGGCTATCGTGAGCCAACTTGGAGGTCATTTTGGGTTCTCTGAGGCCCGTCGGGGGCCGCTCGGGGACATGTTGGGTACCTTCCGGGTGTTTTTTGGAGGCCTCTTGGGGCTTCTTGGGGCGCTCTTTGGCCCGGGCGGTGCCAAAGGCGGGGCCCGTGACCATCGCCCTCGTGCCCGGGGTCCCCCTGTGTGACGGGGGTGGGGACCCATTGACCCACTCGGATGGATGGATGGTCGGATGGATGAGGAGACGGAAACGGTGAAGGACGTAGGAGGAAGAGGAGGAAGAGGAGGAGGAGGAGGAGGAGGAGGAGGAAAAAGAGGATGGGGAAGAAAATGAGGAGAGGAAGGGGAGGGACGACGGCAACGATGATGACGATGACGATGATGACGATGACGATGACGATGGCGATGGCGATGATGAGTATGATGATGATGGTGGTGATGATGGTGGTGTTGATGCTGCTGGTACCGATGGTGCGGATGATGATGCTGACGATGATGGCGATGACGGTGATGATGCGGATGATGCTGATGATGACGATGCTGATGCGCGTGATGATGCTGCTGATGATGTAGATGATGCTGATGTTGGTGATGATGGTAGTTTATATGACAATGGTGATGATTATGATGGTGGTGGTGATGATGATGGTGCCGATGATGATAATAATGCTGCTGCTGATGATGTTGTGACTGTGAGGGTGATGATGATGCTGACGATGACGTTGGTGATGATGGCGATGATGCTGCTGATGATGATGTTGATGATGATAATGAGTATGCTGATTTTGGTGCTTCTATTGACTATGATGGTTCGGATGGTGATGGTCCTGATGATTATCCTGATGCGGATGATGATGATGATGCTGATGATGATGATGATGATGCTGATGATGATGATGATGATGATGATGATGATGATGATGATGAGGAGGAGGAGGAGGAGGAGGAGGAGGAGGAGAAGAGGAGGAGGAGGAGGAGGAGGAGGGAGGAGGAGGAGGAGGAGGAGGAGGAGGAGGAGGGAGGAGAGAGGAGGAGGAGGAGGAGGAGGAGGAGGAGGAGGAGGAGGAGGAGGAGGAGGAGGATGCTTTCAGACGGCGCCACGCTGTCGGGCCGCGCCCGACGCGCGGCGGGCACCCCGGCACGCACGGTGCTCGCGAGGCGCCCAGGGTGGGCAGCCCCACCACCAGCACAGGCACTTGCGCCCCTGCCTGGTGCGGGGGCCGCCTTCGGCTTCTCTGGGCGACCTCCCCACCCAGGACAAGGGCTTGCTCCCCTGCCTGGCATGCGGCCGCCCGCGGCCTCCTCAGGCCCGCCTTCTCGCAGGCTGGCCTCCCTTCCCTTCGCCTCTCGCGGGCCAGGCCCCTCGTGCAGGCCGGCGCCGCTCTCGGGCCCAAGCCTGCTCTCTGCCAGTCTGCCGCCCCCCACGGGCCGCTGCTCTCCTCGCCTCGGGGAGGCTGGGCGCCACCTTCCTTGCCTCACTCCTGCTTGGACACAGCCCCCAGCTCTAGCAGTCCTCGCTCGCTGGTGCCGTGGGCCTTGCGGACGCCCACCAGGGGACTTGCGGAGCAGCCTCCTGCCGTAGCCCTCGGGCCTCCTCGGTGTCTCCTCAGTCTCCTTGGTGCTCACGTACCCCTCCTCTCCTCCTGCCAGGGGCAGCTCCGCCTTTAGGCCACCGCTGGCCCCAGTCAGGGACTCGCATCTCGTCGCGCCCCGATAGGGTCTGGAGTGCCTTCCCAGCAGGAGCCTTCTTCGCTGCTCCCGTGGCGCCTTCGCTCCCCGGCACGGCTGGAACAGCCGCCTGCCCCTGGCCCGCTGCGTCGCCAGTCGACCAGCCGTGCAGCTGGTCCCGCACCTTCTGCACGTCAGGCCTCGCTCCGAGGCGGTCGCTCGGTACAGTGGATGCAAGTCCACAGGAAACCCTCCACAAGAAACCCAACCCTGAGCCCCCAGGGCGTCCATGGATTTTTGGTGTGGGGACGTCACCCTTTCCATAGCAATACCATCAGGACCGAAGAAACCCAGGGCACCCTGGAGGCAAGCAGGGTGTTTCTTGGCATGGGTCCCCACAGTACTCGCAAGGTGGTGGCCCATCCAGCCCACCAGGTCCTCGACCTCCTCTTCCTCTTTGGCCTGCTCGTCAGGCTTCTCCTCATCACCTCCTGCCGTGTCACGGTCCTCCTGTCTCCTCGCCTCGTCGCAGAAGCTGTGCGTCTCCTCGGGCATGGCGTCAAGCTCGGTCATCGTCTCGCTCGGGATCCCGTCCGCATCCTGCTCTTGGTCTTGCCACCATTGCCGACTGTACTTCCTACCTCGCCGTTGACTTCGACAAGTAGTGTGCCCCTGCCGCCGCCAGACGCCTCTGCGGCTTGACCTTCCACGCGTGGGCCCCTTCCTTGGCGTGCCTGGCCGTCTCCTCGTTGCCCTCGTGCGTCCACTTCTCCATTTCTGTAATGCGTGCCTGGGCCGCTGCGGCCTTGCCCGCGCCTGCCCAAGCGCGCCCCGGCAGGGGCGCATGGCATTCGCGCCCTCTGTCGGCAACTTCGCTAACACAGTTTTGGCACACGCGCTCCAAAACAAATCGGTCCGAACAGGTCGGTGCATAGATGCGCGCCTCCCAAAGCGCTCCTCCTTTGACCCGTGCGCTTTCACCTTGATGGCGCGAACTTGCTGATGTCCTCCGAGGTCCTGCCACCACTACTTCTACAAGAGTGCCTCCTGGCCGCTCCTTTGGCCAGCGCCCTGTCCACGTGCGCCGCCTGCCGAGGGGACCCCGCGCAGTCGCCGAACACCTCCAGCGGCGCCTGCGCAGATCCCGCCAGGGTGTGCAGGGCGCAGTCCTGGCCGTCCCCGGCCACCTGCACCGGGGCCCACGCCAGCGGCAGGGTGCCGCACACTGCTCCCGGCACCTGGCCTCCCTCGCTGCAATGGACCATCGCCCAGCCCGCTCTCCTCGGCACCTCTATCCTCCGGGTCCGTGGCCGAGCTGTCCGCGGAAGCCCTGCCTCGGAAGCAGCCCCGCGGCGGCCTCTCGATCGAGGGCACCTCCTCCTTGTGTTGCTTCGCCCGTGGGGTCCCGCCCACGCCTGCGCCAGTTCAGGAAAGAGGCCTCTGGCGAACCTTTCTCAGGAGGGCAAAAAACACACAGACACACTTAATCGTCGATTCCCAGAAAGTATGGAAAAATATGGGAAGTGGGGGGGGAAGACAGAAACCCAGAACATGTGGGAAAATATGGGGAATCTTTTTGTATGTGTGTCTTTATTTGTGTGTCCCAGGGCCCCTGCACTTGTCCGTGGCGGCCAGCCCTTTGCCGCGCAGCCGCGCATTCGTCCAGGTCGAGCCCCCTGGTGCACACCTGAGCGCTCTCTTGTGCTTCACGATCCATATCTATCCCTGTCTCCTCTTCGCCCATTCGCTTCTTCAGGTGTCTCCAGTGTACTGGGCCTTCCCACGTCGATCTTCTTGCCCAGGCATGGGAGTGCCAGGGCATCCGACGTCCACCTCGCCGCCCGTCCTGCCAGTGCGCCCATGAGCCCTGGCCCGAGCCGCCTCGTGTCCAGCACTTCGCCCGTCGGCGTTTTCAGCTCGACGGCTGACGGCATCTCCGGTCCTGCTGTCGCCGTCGTGAGGACTGTGGCGCCTGCCGGGTTCGCCACACTCCTGCCCACGGCTTCTGGCTCCTCGGCAGCTTCTGCGCCTCCTTCCAGGCAGCTCTCCGCCACCGCTCTCGGCAGCGCCGGCACGGGCTCCGCCGCGCACATGGCCCACGCCCTCGCTGCTTCTTTCCTCCGCAGCCCAGCGTTCCTGGGCCCTGTTTTGTTGCCTCCTCGTTTCGAGCCCTCGGCCTCAGGTATTCCACCGCCCTTCTTGGCAGCCTGCCCTTCGCCCTCGTCGCCTGCGTGCGCAGCTGGTGCAGCTTGTGGTCCGCGATGCCGTCGCTCCCGCTCCCCCAGATCGCCGTCGCCGCGGGGAGACTCCTCTGCAGGTGGCCTCCTGTTGTCGCGCCCGCCGCCTGCGCCGTCGTTCTTCTCCTGGCGTCTTGCTCGCCCGTCCCTCTCCATCGGCCGTCGCTGGCGTCACAACTGAGGTGCCTCGCGTCTGCCACTCGTTCCAGCTGCACTCCTGCTTCGGCAAACGCCCCTTCGATGGCCTTCGCCATGCCCTAGTCGCTCACCATGGTACTGCGTCTTGTGCCGTGCCACCACCAAGTCCTTCGCCTCCAGCAGGTCCTCCGTCTTCACCATCGGCTTCGGGAGCTGGTCCCTGGCTTGTTCGGCTCGCCCCACCGCCTGCACCATCACGTCGCCCACCACGTTCTGGCACCTGATCAACGGATGTTCCTCCGCGAGCAGGGTCAGCGTCCTGTGCATCATCACCTTCGCCCGGCCTGTAGCGCATGAGCATCCCGCCGCCAGCGTGCCGTTGACTTCCAGCTCCTGGCTCACTGTGTCGCCCCAGGTGGCCCTCCTCGGCATCCTGTAGCTTACGCACAGCAGCCTGAGGAGTTCCGCTGGGAAGTTCACCTCCTCTCCTTCGATCTGGAGCGCCTTGAGCGCGACGCGCTCGTAGACCTTGGCCAAATCCATGGGCCCCGCCCCGTGCGCAAAGCCCACCTTTCTCGCGTGGCAGGCCACCAGGTTCGACGCCACTCCCGCTACGTCGCAGGGCGTCGCTGCCGCGCCCCAGAGGTGCTCCTGGTTGGAGAGCTCCGCCTCACACTTGGTCACCACCGGTGGCATAATGCGACTGCAGATCCGCATCGTGAACGCCATGAGGTGGATCGGCCGCAGTCCTCCACCGGGTTTCGCCAGGAACGCCGTCATCATGCTCCATCTCGCCATCGGCTTGGCGTCCTCCTCCCTCATGTTGAGATCTCGGCCAGCCTGTCGCTGTAGCTGTTGGGCATCTGCATCAACACCCTCGGATGAGGAGGAGAAGGAGGACGAGGAGGAGGAGTTTGAGGAGGAGGAAGAGGAGGAGGAGGAGGAGGATAAGGAGGAGGACTAATAATGAGACTAAGGACAGTAACAGGGGAGGCGGAGGATAATGCGTTGGAGGAGGAGGAAGGTGATGGTGGTGGAGGAGGATGACACTTGTTAGGGTTTGGAGCGTTCTCGGACGATGCCCAGATTTTCTTTGCCCAGTGCCTCTTCGTCTTGATCAGTGGCAGCCGTTCTTGTCCCTTGTTCGAATGCGGGTACAGGCTGTGCGTTTGGCGGTCGCGCGTATCCCTCCTTGTTCTCCTCGTCCTTGTTCTCGTCGTCGACCTCTTCCTCTTTCTCCTTGGTTCTCCCCCCACCCCTTCCTTGTCCTCCTCCTCCTGATTTTTTTTTCTCATCCTTCCTCTTTCCTCCTCTCTTCTCCTCTCTCTCCTCCATCGCCTCCTCTTCCTCCTCTCCCCCCTCCTCCTCTTCATCCTCCTCCTGCTCCCTCTCCGCCTTCTCAGCTTCCCTCCTCCCTCCTTCCCCCGCCTCTCTCCTCCTTACTCCCTATGATGATGGTGCCGGCAAAGAGAACCATCAAGCGGCATGAGCTCCACAGCTCCCATACTTTGGGGTAGCATGCGGAGTTCGGGATCACGGCGTGCCTTGGCTGTGGTTGCATCGCCACGCAGTCGGTGCGACGGTTCAAAAAGGAGTGTCCTGGGTTTTTGAGTCATTGGCACGCGGCAGTTCGGAACCTTGCAGCAGGGCTTGCCACCCCCCCAGGCACTTCTGAACTTGCCAAGCGTCATGCCCAGAAGATGAGGCTCTTGAGATAACTGTTCAACTTTGCCAGAGCGGGGTCGAAGAGCACCTCGCCGTCGTTGCCCTCTTCCTTCTCCTCAACATTAATCTCCCCCCAGCTTGCGTTGGCGAGAGGAGGATGGCAGGAAGGAGGATGGGGTGGGAGTGAGGAGGAGGATCATGATGGTCGTGTTGGTGATGATGATGATGGTGATAGTGATGGTGATAGCGACAATGATGGTGATGATGATCATGGTGATGATGATGATGGTGATGCTGATGACGATGATGATGCTGACGATCATGATGATGCTGCTGTCGATCATGCCGATGATGACGATGGTGATGCTGACGATTATGCTGCTGATGATGCTGATGGGGACGATGGTGCTGATACTGATGATGATGCTGCTGCTGATGATGATGATACTGATGATACTGATGATGCTGATGATGCTGAGCCTGCTGATCATGATGATGCTGATGCTTGTGATGATGCTGATGCTGGTGATGATGGTGATGGTGATGGTGGTGGTGATGATCATGGCGATAGTAATGGGGATGGTCATGGTCATCTTGACGACGACGATGATGATGCTGATGATGTTGTCGATGATGATCATGGTGATGACGGCGACGACGACGATGGTGATGATGGTGATCATGCTCATGCGGTTGGTGACTATGATGATTATGTTGATGCAGTTGATGATGTTGCAACGTTCGATGATGAATCTGATCCTGTTGAGGCTGGTGATTATGATGATGGTGATGATGCTGGTGATGAAGGCGACTGTGATGGTGATGGTGATGATGATGAGGATGCTCATGACGATGGTGACTACGAGTATGTTAATGCTGCTGATGATGATGATGCTGATGATCATTACACAGCCGGGAAACGGTTTTTGAAATTGCCATGATGGTATCCCCTATCCCTCTAAATATCCCTAACATGACATGATGACTGCGTCATTCGGCGGAATAGTTTTCCGATCTGCTTAATGCTTATGCTTCTGTTACCCCAAATCCGGATTCGAAAATACTCCGCTCCAAACCCAGTTCTCGAGAGGGATGCGTTCACGCGCGGAGTAGTTGGAGCATTTCTACTCCGAACTACTCCGCGCTGATGCTCCATTGGCGAAGGCAGATTGAACGATTTTTTCGTCACGGTGATGTATTCTCATGGTGATGATGCTGATGGGGATGAGGATGATGATGTTGCTGCTGCTGATGATGCTGATGATGGTGATGGTGATGGTGATGATGGTGATGGTGGTGGTGATGGTCCTGGTCATGGTCATGGGGATGGTTATGGTCTTCATGACGATGATGATGTTGATGCTGCTGCTGATGATGGTGATGCTGATGCTGATGCTGATGATGGTGCTGATGCTGATGATGATGATGATAATGGTGGTAATGATGATGCTAATGATGATGGTGGTGATGATGATGCTGATGGCGATGATGATGCTGATGGGGATGATGGTGGTGAGCATGATGATGATGATGATGATGATGATGATGATGCTGATGCTGATGCTGATGCTGATGCTGCTGATGATGATGATGAGGATGAGGATGATGATGATGATGATGATGATGACGATGATGATGATGATGATGATGATGATGATGATGATGATGATGATGATGATGATGACGACGATGACGACGATGACGACGATGACGACGAGTAGGGGGATCATGATGATGCTGCTGCTGCTGCTGAGGAGGAGGAGGAGGAGGAGGAGGAGGCAGGAGGAGGAGGAGGAGGCAGGAGGAGGCAGGAGGAGGCAGGAGGAGGAGGCAGGAGGAGGCGGAGGAGGAGGAGGAGGAGGAGGAGGAGGAGGAGGGAGGAGGAGGAGGAGGAGGAGGCAGGAGGAGGCCGGAGGAGGCAGGGGGAGGCAGGGAGAGCAGGAGGCCGCCGCCGCCACCGCGGCGGCGCGCGCAGAGGCCGCCCTCCGGCACCGGGCCGGCGGCCGAGGGCGCGGCGGGGCCTTGACGAGTCGGCCGCGGGGAGCGGAAAGAAGAGCCGCCCCGCCTGAGAATCGGGCCTCCTCCTCCTCCTCCTCCTCCTCCTCCTCCTCCTCCTCCTCCTCCTCCTCCTCCTCCGCCCCCCCCTCCCTCCCCAGGACCCCCATCTCGGGCCGGACGAAAAGGGGGGATTGGGAAATGGGGGGTTACGAAATCTGCGGCATGCAGCTGCTTTCGGCCCCACCGAGGGGCCCATTCCTCGATACATGGGCGCCTCCTGCGCCGGGAGGCGCAGGGAAAATCAGCCACGTGAGCTGATTCTCCCCCCTCCCCCTTTTGCTATCCCCCCCTTTCGCCCGACCCGAGAGAAGCTGGGCCGGAAGCCTCCTCCCGAGAAGTTGGGCCAGCGTTTCCTGCCCGGCCATGCCGGGGAGCTGGCCCAGCTTCTCGAGCACGTTCTCCCTCCTTCAGCGTCATGGTGGCAGGCATGTGTCCAGGCTTGCTTACAGAAACCTCCTGGAGGCTGGCCCAGGTTTCTTGAACGACAGTCTTCTTGATCCTCTTCGCGGCTGTACATGGAATCCACGCTGACTTCGAAAGTGTGCACTGCGCGACCGCTCGTATCACGAGGCTGCTCTCGCGGACTGTCACCACCCACCGAACCACCCCAACCCAACCCGAAGGCCCAAATGTATCCTCGATTCACGGTGTGTGGGGGGGGGATCGGGTAACGTCGGCAAAAGCGCATGTGGAGCCCGTACCCCCCCCCCACCAACCCGAAACTTGGGTCTTCGGGCTAGGCTGGGGTGGTCTGGTAGGCAGCCAGACTGGGGGACCCGTGTTCACGCTTGCGTGGCCGGGCGCGTGCGTCCTTGTGGCGGGTCCCCCGGAGGAGGGCGGAGAGGAGCGAGGGGTAGGGCCGCAGGGAGGCGGAGGGCCTGCGAGGTTGGGGAGGTCAAGCGGTGGAGGGTGCAGGGGGGCTGGTCTCCCGCGCTCCTCCTCCTCCTCCTCCTCCTCCTCTTCCTCCGTCTCCTCCTCCTCTTCCTTTTCCTCCGTCTCTTCCTCCTATTCCTCCTCCTCTTCCTCTTCCTCGCCCGCATCCCCCTCCTCCTCCTCCTCCTCCTTCTCCTCTTGTTCCTCCTCCTCCTCCTCCGCCTCCTCAGCATGCAGAATGATCAGTCCCACCACGCAGTGGCGAGGCGTCCTGGCTTGCCTATATGCCCAGCAAAGGATGTGCCAAGAACCTGTCGTGGTTTGCAAGAGATGTTCCGAGAACGTGTCTGTCTGAGAACGTTATGTTGTGATGCATCGGCTTCGTGTTTTGAGAACCTTGGTTCGGTTTTCAGAGTTCTTTCTTTTGCTTCAAGAATATTTCGCGGTAGGCCTATAGGAATGACGGGACGGTCGATCCCTGCTCAATTTTCCAGGTCCTCTTGACACACCGAGTAACAAAAACGGTATAAGCATCATTCCTCGGAGTTCCTTGCGCATTTCTCGGATCTGCGTTGGGCCCCCCTGGCGGCGGCGCCGCCCTTGGCACGTTCCGCGCGCCATGGAGGGGCGTCCAGCGCCGATCCAAGAACTCCGCGCGGACCTCCAAAACATTGTGTCAATGCCGTTCTTTGGTGTTCTATTATCATAATGAGCACCGTTGCTCGCAATATCTTGCTGTACTTGCCTGGCATGGCTCCTGGGGAGGCTTGAGGCGTCCGCAGGGCTGGACCGAGGATCGCGATCATGACAGGGTGGCATAACTTCGATGGGGGCGGCGGAGACGATACATGCGCCGCGATGACGCAGCATTGCCACTTTCACTTGCAAACTGCGTGGCGCTCGGGCGAGGTCGGCATTTCGCCCGCGCTCGCGCGGCCCCGCTGCCGCTGTCGCTGTCGTGCGATTCAGCGAATGGACCATGCACCGCGCCCGCGCGGGAACGCCACTTCTGAGCGACATGCGCACGGGCAGGGCTCGGGAACGAATCCCTTTCACTAGCTGGATCGAGACGGATAATGGCACTCTGCTCGGCTAAATCGAGGAGCGCGTTCACAACGACTTAACCAGAGAGTCGTGGGTCCGCGGCGAAATAATTCTCTTGAAGTTTGGGTGAGGGCGACAAGTCCCCTACTCGCGCGGGCCCTCGAACATGTGCCGCGTAAAAGGCGGGAGCCCACCTTCAGGCGAAATCTTCGCGGCGCCGAGGCGAGAATTACATTGTTGTCCGCCCGTGCGTCGACGAATTTGCGTGCGAGCAATGTGCGCCGCGCCCAAGCGGGATTTCAACCCTCTCGAGCAATAAACGCGGCGCCCAGGCGAAAACATTCTTTCGGGCTTTCCCGCGGGATGTGCGCCCCGTCTCACTCCCGCCACGGATGTTGCAACATGGGCGACGAGATATCCATGCTGGGAAGAACGTCGTCGTTTTCATTTTCATCTCCCATGTCGGATGAACAAGGACCTGGATATCGGCCGGCTGTGGTAGACAGCGGAGGAACCAGGATTATGATCGGAGTCGTACTTGCGGTAGTTATGGTGGTGGTAGTAGTAGTAGAAGTAGTAGTAGTAGTAGTAGTAGTAGTAGCAGTAGTAGCAGTAGTAGAAGTAGTAGTAGTAGTAGTAGTAGTAGTAGTAGTAGTAGTAGTAGTAGTAGTAGTAGTATTCGTAGTAGTAGTAGTAGTAGTAGTAGTAGTTCTAATAGTAGTAGTAGTAGTAGTAGTAGTAGTAGTAGTAGTAGTAGTGGTAGTAGTAGTAGTAGTAC